GTTGATCAACAAATATAGAAATTGTGTACACCTAGTGCTCGAGGTGTGAAATTTCTAAGTTCGAGCAGTGAAAGCACTATTGTGCCGGTTTTCTTTGCTTTTTTTCTTTGCATTATTATTGTCATTATTATTTCACTTACTACAGGGCTTTCCCGTGTAACCATCCTTGCAAATGCATTGTGCACTGTTGGTTCGAATGTCTACGATGCAGATTTCGTTCTTGCCACAATCTGACTTATCTCGTTCGCATAAGCTCTGATTGTAAACAACAACAATGATGATAATAATATTAGTGAGAGTAATAAAATTTATAACGATGATGATACTATATCAATGATGCCGACGATTATATTGATGACGATTATGATGTCATTATTATTATTAACAATTGTTTCTCGAAGTAGAGGTGGATAGTGGTGGATATTTAGCGAGCCGTTGAGTGGCCTACGAGGTAAATATCCACCGCTTTCAACGACACAGAGGAGAGTAAATGTTTTAGTTTACACCATACAGATAAAAAAAGAATTAGCCAATCTACTACAATACGCTTGGAAACTGAAATGTTTTTACCACACTTAGCAGCAATGTCGCAATTTGATTGGCCAATTTGTCGATGTCGGCTGCTCGCGTCTATGTGTCACACAATAGCTTTATCAGCTCTCTGACCAATGTAATGACCAATATCTTTGTCGATAAGAGTATAGACCACGCTAGGCTACTCTCGACTTGTTAAATAGCAGCGCCATTGTCAATCTACTAGGTCGTTTTATGTTATGACAAACTGAGATAATCTCTAGCTTTCAATCGGAGAAAAAAAACTTCTTAACTAAACTTTGTGGCTAGTAATGAAATAGAGTTCTCTATGATTCCCTAATGTTTTGTAAAAATGCTTGAACGAACGTGTCTGCTTCAATTTCGCATCTTTTTTATATTTGTCGTTTAAGGAGGCTCCATAGGGTTTTTTGATCGCGCGAGATCTGGGTGCGAACATAGTGGGGGGCCTTGAAATTGACAAAATAACATGGCGGCTCAATACGCCTGAAAAGAGGTCAACCGAAAACAAAACACAGTGGGAAAGATTGCCAAAAGGCGATAGACTTGAAAGATTACGCTTGCTCACATGTAGATCCTAGCGAAGTTCTATTCCATCGCGTAATGTTTTGCGACAGAGAAATTAGGGATCTTTTGAGCACGATTTATGGCGTTTCCTAAGATGGAATTTCCTAAGATTTGTCGGACCATTAAACATATTTGTGCCCTTCCTAGTGCCTGTTGATAAAAACAATTCATAGGACCAAATTTGAGATAGAGAAAGATAACACCAAATTGCAAATAGTGAGGAAACTGCCTTTAACTTTAAAATGATCGGCAGGACAAATTTCACAACTTATGAATATTTTGAAAGATTTCATCGAATTTGAAGAATTATAACTGGCGAGCGCCTCCCTTCGTGGAGCCTTAGCTTTATCACGAAAATCATTTTGATAAAATTTGCTACAGCAAATGATTGTCCCAACCTTGCTCATCGCCTTTTGATGGCTTTTAGTGACCCTGAAAGGCAAAATCGTAAAACTTTTCCAAACTTTTCAAAAACAATACGATGGCGTGCGCGCCAACATTAAGAAAAATACACTATAGAGCCTCCTTAGACGCAATTCTGCAATTTTATCAATTTATTTTCTTTTACCATTAATTGTCATTTTCTGGAACTTTTTCGTATATCTAGGTGGTAGTCAAAATCTTTTGAAATGCATTGCAAATACCTTTATCCCTCTGTAACTGAAGTCTTTGTTCTCAATGAAGTTGGCCCTAACTGGCCTCTCAAATCGATCCGAGTCACTGATCTGGCACTTCCATCTCTCAGGTTTGTTCTTTTTGCTTCCAAAGTTGTAAGACTTACATCGCTCTTCGTTGACACACTCCAATCTACAAGAGCTTTCTGATTCCACCTCTATCTCCTTTATCACGCTCCCGTTGAGTTGTCTCCCGTCCATCATCTGGCCAAAATTAGCGGCTTGAAATCTGGGAAACCTGTTTGAAATGCGACTTGTTGCATAAGCAGTGACACCGATCAAGAATAATATTAGTAGGTGCATGTTTAAGTAGATAGGCAGATAAAGAGGTTCAGTTCCTTAGCCAAAATTGGGATGCCAGGGTTATTATTTAGACTCGTTGTGTATTTCGTTTTTGACTCTGATCCAGCGAAAGACTCCTAATCACAATGCGCTTGGCACCTGGCAATTTTGCCTATTTTTAATTCTACCTTTGTTATTTTAAAAATTATTTGCTGAATTCCCAGCCAGCCAGCACTACGTGGTTAACATCTGGCGTAATTTCAAACAATTATCATTTCATGTAATCACTTCTACTTTGAAGAGAAAAACAATTAGGATGGAAATAGTTTAGTCTTTGTAACCTACTTAGACCTTTCAGATAGGCTAGACTAGCAGTTCTCTATTTAATATTTAAAAGATCCGTCGGAAGAGGTATCTTTTATCTAAAAAATAGGGCATAAGTGATATTTTGCCAACAGTTCCTTTGTTACTTGTTTTTAAAGCTTAGTCCTGTTATCAAACTTTTTTTTTTAACGGGCTTGCGATGAATTGATTGGGAGGCTTTCTTCGCGATTGTGTGAGCTGAACACAAATGATAAGTAGGGTAAGGAAAAATGAATAAAGGGGATAATTTTCTAGAGAAACTGTGGTGGTCAACTTAAAGAGTTTCAAAGCTGGCGTTTCGGCGGTAGCCCTTCGTCACGAAACTCTGCCTGTAAGAAATGCGTGACACCCTCACACGAAGACTGCATGTGAACAAGTCTTGCATAGAAATCCTTGGCATTACAGTAAAAGCTTCTGCCACTTGCGCTGTACTCTTGAAAGGATATTAAATTTACATTTCACGCGTTTTTACATGTGAAGTTTCCTTTGTGACGGTTTATTATCGCCATTCTCACGATGTTAATCCATTTATGATTCTATTGGCTCTAAGAGAGAGTATTTGAAGAGTAGAAAGTTCGATTAGTAATTAGTAATGCATAAGTAAGTCTTACTAAAACGTGAATCAATTCATAAGAATTGTTTGGAAGGATCTGCCTCGACAGGCGGTCATACAATCCAACAGCGTGTTTACTGAAGCTTAGCGAGAATGACAGCCGTACGTGTGTTCAAGCCTCGTGGTTGGCTGACCATCTAGAGGTGTGTCTGGGGGAGGGGGCTAAGGAACGAAGTGAGCGTCTCACATTTAGGGACACTTTCTTCTTCAACTTGCCCCATTTTTCTTTTGAAACCAACACAGCAACCATTATCCTATTAGGTAATAAAAACGCTGTGCGATATCTCTCTGTAAACTATTAATTTTGAACTTTTATCGTTCAAGAACTTCAACACACCTTTTCCCCAGGCTCCCAGAGGGAGTGTTTGATCCGAGGAGATATTGGACACTACTCACAAAGTGCAGTTTTCTTAGGCCAACGCGGAGAAAGTTCGATCGACTCTGGTCATCACGGTGGTTTTTCTATCGAAAGGTGAGTGGAAGACCCTAATTGCGTGGCCTCCTAGTTGAGAACGATTGTAGGTGCCTGGGTAAGGTGCATTTTTACGAACGTCGTGTTGGGATTTGGGAATCTCGCGCGAGAAAGCTCTCTAATTACAGTTCCGTGCCCGCAAATGCTCGTTATCTAATTATGAGCTGTATTGAGAGCCTGTCGTTGTTAGTGTTTTCTTAGCGTTCATATATTGTTTGTATAATTTTAAAGTCAATAGTATGATGCCCGAAAATTTGAAAACGAATGTGCCTGTACTCTACATATTTGACTGAAACTTGCTAAACGTGAGTTGTTTTCGAATGAGGCATGTTTACATATAAATGGAAACAAAATAAATGCGATGTCTGGTTGTCGAAGTCATATGAGCTCTAACCTTATGAGATTTGACGAGTCATCTGAAATTTAACATTATGCAGTGACTTTGCTGAGTTACAATGTTGCATTCTTACGGATACATTAAGTGGGGTGTTTCTTTTTCTCCTCTTCTAGAAATCTCGTCATGGCATTTCGTCTTCCCTTGAGGTCACTTTCACGAGTCGTTCCAAGAAGGCTTTTTGCTCCTCCTGCTTCCATCAGTCGGTCTTCTTTCGCAACGCTCGCTGAGGTAACGTAATCAAATACGTTAAATGTTGGCTGGTTTCATGTTGCACCACGGGGACCAACATTTGTTCTTGCACGATGTAGGTCAAGTAAACAGCGTCTTTTATTCTAACTTCTTGTCTGTGAGCAGGTTTACAAGTTTTCGAAGTATTCGATTAAAAAAGGAACCTACAATATTAACCTAATCAGAGTTTTGAACAAAATCATGACTGCTTCACGAACGTGACGCAGTGTTTATTATTTCGCATCTTGCAGTTTTATTTTGTTTTTAAGATCAACACCTTTGCAAACCCCTCCTGTAGAATATCCTGACGAGTAACAACTCTAGAGCAATGACGTCAGATGACTTGTCATTACCTTGACTACAGGGAAAAAAAACCATGAATTTTAAACATACCTGTTTAAGAATGTTTACATTCTGCTCTCACTGAAGCTTGCCTCTAGGACTCTTTTGTTAGATATTTTCCACATTTTGTTCTCTGACTAAAATTTTCTCTCTAGCAATGTAATGTACGTGAGCAGAAAAGGATAGTTAAGCATATTAACTATATATACCACATGGCGTCAACTGTACAATTTAAAATAGGCAATGCACATTGTTCTTTTATTATGGTTGATTGGAGCACACTACAGTAATTCTATGAGGTAAAGGTCATCTGAAGGTTTTGGAACAACAGCCTAAATCTGATAAGAGTGCAACCTCTTATCTCTCTCAGAAACAAAAACAATTTTGCTTCACACAAGTCTCTGAAATAGAGGTATTCTTATTACTGGAAAGTCTTGATACAAACAGGTCATTAGGGTTGATAAGATTCATCCACTGTTATTAAAAACTTCAGCACTTCAAATATACCATCCCCTAACATTTGTTTTTAATCTTTCCATCAACTACGGTATATTTCCTGATAGTATGAAACGTGCTAAAGTTGTTCCAGTTTTTAAACAAGGCTCTTGTTTTGCATGTAGTAATTATTGACCTATCTCAATTCTCTCTTCCATAAGTAAAATATTTGAGAGATGTATTTTTAATTAGCTGATGTTCTATTTTACGAATAATAACATGATTTCCTCAAAACATTATGGATTTAGACCAGGTTTTATAACCTTTGATTGTCTAATTGACCTTATTGAAGAAATAACTTCTTCTCTTGATAAAGGACTTTATGTGGTTTCTTTATTCTTAGATTTAAGTAAAGCACTTGATACAGTAAACCATCAAATATTACTAAATAAACTTATGGATTACAACAAAGTGAATACAACTGGTTTCAATTTTACTTAAGTAACAGGAAACAGCAGGTGCATGCAAATGGTATTGCTTCTGATACACGTTTTATCTCCACTGGTGTGCCTCAAGGATCGATACTAGGACCTTTGCTGTTTACTATTTTCATTAATGACCTTCCAAAGTCTTCCACCTTTTTTTCTACTAGATTATATGCTGATGATACATCTTCAACTGCTTCTGGAAGTGATCTTGACAGTTTATTGCATGAAATTAACAATCATTTACCAGCTGTCTACAAATGGTTATGCAATAATAAATTGATTGTAAATTTTACAAAAACTAAGTTTCTTATTTTTATGCCTCGTCAAAAGGAAAGCTACAATCTTTATCCACCATTAACTGTAGCAAATGTTCATTTAGAAAAGTCCTTTTGTGTAAAATATCTTGGTGTGTATATTGATTGTCACCTCACTGGGCATGACCATATTGACTACATATGTGGCAAAATGAGCAAAAATATAAATATAATGGTTAAGTTGAAGCATTATATATCAAAAGCAACGCTTATAAGTGTGTATTATTCTCTTATTTATCCTTACCTTACTTATGCTTGTACACTTTGGGGAAATAATTATAATGCTCCATTGTCTCAAATCATAAAGTTACAAAACAAAGCAGTTCATGTTATAAATGATGTTCCTTTAATGGAATCAATAACTCCACACTACACATCCTTAGGCCTTTTGAAATTTCCTGATATTGTTAAACTGAACACATGTATGCTTTTTTATGATTATTTCCACCATGAAAAGTTTACACTAAGAAACTTTTCATGAAAGTAAAAGTAAAGTAGGTTTCGTTAGTATCTGAACTACATAATTACACTACCCACAGTGCATCATCCAATCAAGTTGCAATACCTTTATTTCGAACTAGTCTTAGGAGATTTGGCCCCAGCATTATTGGAAGTTTCTTTTGGATTGATATTCTGCAATCCATTAGAGATAAACCATCTAAAAAAATGTTTAGAAAAGCACTTTTGGACTGGTACCTAGCACAATACTAATGAAACATTATCTCTTTTATAATTTTCTGAGCTATTTGTCATTTTTCCTTTACTTTTTTATTAAAAATCTCGAGTCCTTTGTTATACATAACTTTAAGGGGCACAATATTAGTTTATCTAGACGTGTCCCTCTCCTCTCCTTCAATATACAATGTAATTCAATTTAAGTGTTGTAATTTCTGTTATATGCATTTTTTCCTTTGTAAATCTTTATCTGATACTATGTTATATCATGTTATATTTACATAACTATGTATCAGCTAGGAATTGGAGGAATAAATAAAAAAAAAATAAATAAAAATTAAAAAAAAAGACGAGGCAATTGCCTCGTCTTGATTTTGGCCCAAGATTGACTTTTCTGGAGTCAAGTTAAGTTTTTCTCTCCAGCAATATGATTGTACATGAGCAGAAAAGGAAAGCTAAGTATATTAACTATATATACCACATGGCGTCAACTGTAATATTTAAAATAGGCAATGAGCATTGTTCTTTTATATTTGTTGATTGGAGCACACTAATTCTGTGAGGTAAAGGTCATCTCGAGGTTTTGGAAAAAGTCATGAAAGCAAACCAATGTAGAAATGCAAGTAAACCACATAATTGCATTATAATTATCCAGGGCCATAGTTAGCATGAGGCAAGACGAGGCCTTGTCTTGATTTTGGCCCAAGATTGACTTTTCTGGAGAAAAATGCCATGGAAAATGCTTAAAAGAGCATTTCTGAGCCTCCAGCTTTAAAAATTAATTTTCTGGAGGGGTATGCCAGACTCCCATAGTGGCTTGCATATTCAGTGCTTGAAACTTGCATCATCTTGTTCTGAAGTCTGGCTACAGCCCTGTTATCTCACAATGTAATCCCTTTATGTGTAGTGATTTCATATCTGATTAACTTCCATTTTTTGACAGTGATTAAAATTTGTAAAATATCAGGATAAATATGACAGTTGTCTGACATGGGTCTTTTTTTATTTGACAGCGTAAGATTGATGACAGTCCTGAAGTGAAGTACAATCAGGTAAATCATTTTGAAAAATTCACATCCACTGTGACACTTTGCTTAAGCTTTTTTAAGTGTTTGTGTAAGCTTTTGCTATCTTGTTTTCGCGATGGAAGCAGTCAGAGTATAGTTTTCAGATAAAGGTAAACACAGACATTTATTAATCATTCGTAGTTTAGAATATGGTTTTCCCAAAGATTTTTCACCCTTTAACTCCCAAGATCTCTCTGTAATTCTCCTTACTGCCTTCCATACAATTATAATGATGTCAATTTGGTATGGGATTAAGTAGCAATCCCATAATTGATATTTTACTTTATTCTCATCACTTGTCTGCTTAACATTGTCTAGATATAGTAAGGAGAAATTCTGTCTTGGTCACTCACAGGAGTTGAAGGGTTAACTGAAATCCAATGAAGAATTGTCTCAATGAATTTTGAGACGTGTGTTCATTGAAACTGTTGTGTCTTGGGTTTTATGAAGCGTGCCTTTCTCTGACCTTTGCAGGCTTTTAGGGACTGGGCCAATTAAGTAATTTTTTGTTTGTCATCTTTGTTATGTAGATACAGTTTCAGTGGGCACAGCATCTCCATAAGTAGGCTGCCATTAAAAGCCTTTGCAAATGATGTGTGTACACACTGTACATACATATATGTGTTGTATGTATTTGCAATATTTCAACAGGCTGGTCTAGTTAAGCACAAAGGTGATTTAAATTGGGGCTTGTAATAAACAGTGACTGTTACGAGGCCTGGCCACAACTCCAGGAGCTATGTTCCCCACTCTTTTAGAGAAGTGTATGGGTTCTTTAATGCCCCTGCTAATCAGTTAAGTTTAGTTAACTCAACTAAACTTTACTGGTTAGCAGTAACTGCTAGCATAACTTAAGCAAAAATGTGACTGAATCAGTATGGTAAAAGTTAAGTCCTTGTTCCCCAGGTTTTCATCAACAACAGGTTTGTGGACTCTGTCAGTGGCAAGACATTCCCCACAATCAACCCTACAACTGGGGAAAAAATATGTGATGTGGCTGAGGGTGACAAGGTAAACCATGCACTTTACAAACTATGATAACATTGGCTTTGAAGATAACATTCTATTTTTATTGCAGTGGTCATTCATGCATTATTTGGTGAAAACAGGCTTGGTTGGAAAATGGCTGTAAACACTGATAGAGATCAATGCTACAATTGTAACAATCACCACAAAACTGATAAATCAATGCAAAAACTTTTGATCAGAAGGGATTTTAATTTAGTCTAAACAGATAAAATGTTTTACAAATTATCAGTATGGGAACAAACAAAATGTGATTTACATGTATGGACTTGTGGGAGATAGATTTGCAAAATGCTTGAATCTTGCTTATGTAGGTGAGGCATGCAGAAGTGCTAATAACCTAATATGTTCTTTAGGCAGATGTTGATATTGCTGTTAAGGCAGCCAAAGAGGCCTTTAAGCTGGGCAGTCCTTGGAGAACAATGGATGCATCAGAACGTGGAAAGCTTTTGAACAGACTGGCTGATTTGCTCGAACGAGATCGAGCTTATCTTGCAGTAAGTACTAACATTTTGTTGGAGTAAAAGTGAAATTATCAGCCATCATAGTCCTAAACTTTAGAGGTACAATGTGAAGTCCTTTCCTTTTATTCAATAACTAGAGTCAATCAAAACTGTTACGTAAACTTGCCATGAACAAATGCAAAAAAAAAAAAAGAAATTAAATAAAGCCATCTTGACCAAAATGAGTAAAGGGAATGAATGATCTGTGATAAATTTTAGCCTAATGACTACACTAAGGGTAAAGCATGTCTGCTGTACTTCAAAGTGAAATAGAGGCAATTTTTGTCTTATTTTTTTGCATATTTTCATGTGAATTTTGTTTTTTTGCAGCAAAGCAGGCAGTTCTAGGCAGTTCAATTATATGTAATTTTGTAAACTAGAGTAGCTAGTCAGGATGCATTCTTGATTTGTTTTAGTTAAGCTTGTTAATAAAGCCAGCCTCATTTTGTTGCAAGAACATATACATTAAATCATTCTGTGGGTGTTCAAACTCTGACTGTAAAAAGAAAAACGTACTCACAACATTGGTTGTTCTCAGGGTACACAACCTTGTACATTTTGTTAATTCAGCTATAAAGTACGAAATAAGACAAAATTTGGTTCTTCTCTCCTAGAGTTTAGAGACTTTGGACAATGGCAAGCCATTCAATGATTCTTTCAATATTGATTTGTCCATGACAATTAAGTGCTATCGATACTATGCTGGGTGGGCAGACAAAATTCATGGCAAGACAATTCCAATTGGTAAGTTTATTACTTTGAAGTTATGGAAAGCCAATAAACTCAATGGAATTTTGCATATTCATTTTAACGAGTTATCAACCACATAACCACATGTTGTCTTAGGTGACCAAGAATTCTTTTAGCTTTTACTATAATAGGCAGTCAGCTCCTCCATTAAGGCTTGTTCATTCCTTGGTTGTGATTTTCTTGGAAACCCAGCTCTAAGGCGTTATGCCTGTAGTTACTTTTTGAAAGACAGGCACGTGGTGCTCTAATGAAACAGACTGGCTTAACTTAGACAGGCTCACTTATGCTTTCATAAAACAGTAGTGCTGTAAATATGTGTCCAGTCTTCTTTTATTCATTTTACACCCTGTGGAGCTTCAGTAGATAATTGATATCAATGTGTTTGCATTTTATGTCAATTTAACATCTGCTGAAGTGTTCATTGTCAAGTGATGTTGGTTAACTCTCAAAAAATTGAACATCTTTGATGCCAGTTATTTGCTTCCTGCTGCCTGCTTCTGCCTAACCTCCATGGAACAACCAGCTCTACCCATAGGGTGATAACAAGAGGCGAACATCAAGTTTGTGGACCTCTTCCTTATATTCCCCCCACAAACCTTTTCAAACGTTTTACCTGGTAGCAAAGAAATGTGTACTATCATTTGATGCTGATCGTAGTATTTTCATTGTTATGAATCGTTTCATTCACTCAACAGATGGCAGTTTCTTAACCTATACCCGCCATGAACCTGTTGGCATTGTTGGTCAAATAATCCCATGGAATTTCCCACTGCTGATGCAAGCCTGGAAACTTGGTCCAGCCCTGGCGGCTGGAAATGCAATTGTAATGAAACCAGCAGAACAGACACCACTGACTGCCTTATATGTGGCGTCTCTAATTGCTGAGGTACTTAATCTTAATTAGAAAGATAGAAAGTCTAAAATTTCCCCGTTAAGCACTCCTCTCATAAAAACTCATTTAAGACTAAAATCTCAATACAGGTTCTTGTTTTTGGAATGATAAATTTGTTCAAATTTGACACAGTAAATCGCAGGCAATACAAAAAGATAACAATGCCAGAACACTGGCTGTGTTTTAAGACCACAATGCTGTATTGTCGATACACCCATAGTTGTAAAACATATCAGACTGTGTGTACAAGTAAACCGTGTAAAGTAGGGCACTATGAGGTTGGCAAACAGCGCATTATCACACCCACACCAACCAATACAAGTTGTTTTTTTGTTTTGTTTTGTTTTTTTAACAAAAATTAAGAACGTAATTAAGAACTTAGGTAGCCTTATTTCACAGTAAACACCATTTATGTAAGAACCTATGGAGGCAAACTTGGAAAACCTAGGTTTCAATATGCGGGTTTTTACTGTAACTCTTTTAACTGGTAGGGGGGACAAGCATCGAAATTCCCCGTACATTATCACCTCTAAAAAACACACTTAGATAATGAGAATGAAGGAAATGATGGCCAACTAAGTAACTTTTTAATCTATTGACAACAATATGAAGAATATGCATACTGAAGATGAGGGGGGGGGAGGCTGAAAGGACAGCTTATTTCGCCAAAAGTTTGTCCAAGTTCAGCTCAGTAAGGAGACAAACCTTTTTTGTTGGTTTCTTGACAGGCTGGTTTCCCGCCAGGTGTTGTAAATATGGTTCCAGGCTACGGACCTACAGCAGGAATGTCAATCGCTGAACACATGGAGATTGATAAGGTTGCCTTCACCGGTTCCACTGAGGTAAAGAAGTGTTCTGTCTAATATAACGAGAACACACTGAAAAGTGGTTTGTTTTAAAAATTGAACGGTAAATTTTCTCCTAGGAAAGAGGAGAGGGTAGACAGTGTTTTGTTTAAATTGGCCCAAGATTGCATGTAAAAGCAAACAGATGAACTGATCATCACAGCCTAAAAAAGCACAGGAAAAAGAAAAAAAGAACAAAGCATAAACCAAACCTGAAATCTCTTCCAGACAATGATCATTATCCAGTCCGCCAAATTCCACCAGGCCTTTTTTTCATCATGGGATATTGTCGGGAGTCTACACTTTTTTGGGGCCGTTTTGAATGTTTTATCACCTCGGTTGAACTTCTTAGTCATAGAATATTTGTTGTGAAATCTGGGACAGAACTACTCCTGCAAAAAGCGAATATTACTCTTTTTCACGTGTAATTTTATCTCGTAGATTGGGCATGTAATTATGCAAGCAGCTGGCAGAAGCAACTTGAAGAACGTCACCCTGGAACTTGGTGGCAAGAGTCCTAACGTGGTGTTTGCTGATTCCGATATCGACAGCGCAGTGGAAATGAGTCACTTTGCTCTGTTCTTCAACCAGGGTCAGTGTTGCTGCGCTGGCAGCCGCTGTTTCGTAGAGGAGCCGATTTACGACGAGTTTGTGCAAAGAAGTGTGGAGAGGGCCAAAAGCCGTGTCGTTGGCAACCCTTTTGATTTAAATACAGAACAAGGACCACAGGTAATAATAATTGGCGAAAAGTGAAGGGCGCTTCGGTCACCTTCGCCGTCGTCGTTTTCGGTAGACATACAGTACGAGTGGCTTTGATAAATGATGGGTTAATCGACGCTTCTTATGAAAACATTGACTCTCCATGAACAAAAAGCAGGCAAGGAAGTTGGGAAAGGGTATGCTGTTGGGTAAGGAAGATCCAGCATTCTCCTTAAATCACTGTTTTTTGAGAAGATCTCTTGAAGTTCTTAAACTTTATCATGAAAAGCCATCCGTTGCCTTTGGCTTGGATAGTCGTGCTCTCTTTGGCCATTCCTTAGTGCCAACCTTACAATTCAATGTTGCCGTTTCTTAATGGCCAACTGGAAAAATTTTGGTTTTTTTTTTTTTTTTGGGGGGGTGTTCATACTGGACAGGAAAAGAGTAGAACTATCAACTCTTCCCCGCCCAATTCATCCCTAAGCCAACGGATTCGGGATCCCACTCCTGCTTTTCGTGCTACACTTAAGGAAAGATTATGAAAACGCCTGGTCTTTGCAAAATTTCTAAAACTGCTGCTCTCTTTACTTTCCTAAAGGTTGATCAGGAGCAGTTTAGCAAGGTTATGTCCCTGATAGAAAGTGGAAACAAGGAAGGTGCCAATATGGTCTTTGGAGGAGGGAGGCATGGTGACAAAGGCTACTTTGTGCAGCCCACCGTCTTTACTGATGTCCAAGATCACATGAGAATTGCAAAGGAAGAGGTGCACTAATTGATTGAATTGGTCGTTAAAATATTAATAAGATGACAGAAGCTATTAGCGAACTAATGACTATAATTTTGTGTTATGTCAGATTTTTGGACCCGTGATGCAGATCATGAAATTCAAGGACATGAACGAATTGATTGAACGAGCTAACAATACCATTTATGGTTTGGCTGCCTCTGTGTTTACCAAGGACATTGACAAGATGAATACTATTGCCCACAGCATCCGTGCTGGCACTGTTTGGTGAGTATCAGATTTAAGGAACACCTTACTCCACAAGTTAATTGAATGAACTCATTATATTTCCATATGGGAACGTGTGTTTCTCTCCTGTTACAGGGTCAACTGCTACGATGTTCTGGATGTCCAAGCGCCATTTGGTGGCTTTAAAATGTCTGGATCAGGGAGGGAATTGTGAGTTCTCGTATTTGATGCTTCTTTCTCTCACAGCTTCGTGCAATGTTCTCAAAATACCCGCCATAAATAACATCTCACGCTCATAAGGAAATTCTGCTTATTTTATTTCTATCTATTTTCTTATTTGATACTTATTTATTTATTTTTATTTTATTTATTAGGGGAGAGTATGGTCTTGAGCAATATTCGGAGGTGAAAACGGTAGGTGACAATTTATGGAAACTGTGCTTCCTCCACTTGTGTGTTCATAGCATCTATAGGTGGTGTTCCACGTAGTGTCCACGGAAACATAAACCCTTCCATCTTATCTAGTCCCTGATAAAGCAATAAGCACGAACTAAAACACCATTAAAGGTTAAGGGTTATTTTAATTCTTATAATCTTGTTTTTGTTGGTTATGCGCTCCGACGCCCTGGCAATCACTCAGTCTATCGTCTGATCGTAAAGTTCACCTCTCTTCCTACCTTGACTTTTCTGTTCAGTAACTTGTTGTTCCTTGTTTTGACAGATAACGATCAAGCTCCCGCAGAAGAATTCTTAAACAGCTGAGTGGTAAATCGAATGCTCTGAACCTTGAAATGTCTTCGAAACCATTCAGTTCAGGCGATTTTCACAAGTTATTTAATACGTCCCTAATTCTCAAACCCAAAGTGTAGCACTCAGTTAACGTAACTTCGACAATTTTTTGTACCGTAATCATAAGGAACTTCAACAGACTTTTCTTTTCATAAATATGCTCAACTTCTTAAGCTGTGACTTGCATTGCGTGGAAAAGGTAGCCTGTTGGTCAAAACCGTTTTTACCAGTATGATTTAGAAATTTAAATCATGTTCAACTAGCCCAAACGTTCTACACCTCACTGAACGACAAATACATACATGTAATTGTACAGTTAGTGCTCGTAGTCCAAATTAAAATCTCTTTTTGTAATCGCAATGATAAATCGTAACTTAATAAAAAGAAACCTCCTTCTGATTTTTTTTTTAATTTTTAAATATTTTAGAATATTGATATTGAAGTTTTAAAATGCCGTAAACACAACTTTAGCGCCCTTTGACATAAGCTGATCATATTTTATTACGAAATACGAAAACAAAGATAAAGAAGAGGAAAAGTGTTGAAAGGGAATACACTATGCTGAAAAATACGTCACCATCTTGCGACAATGCCCTGTCACCTACTTATCAGCATAAGCATGTTTTGGCACAATTGTACCTGATGCTTACTTAAAAGTTTGAAATTCGTTGTTCACGTTTAAAAATAGATCTATTTATTCAATAGGGACAACAGTAGAACCCGTAGTTCTTGGCTTAATCAGTCAACCGCAAAACAAAGAGAAGTTTCTTTGTAGTGTGCTCAACTCAATTTACATGACCATCACATGAAATCTGACCATTTCTTAATCGCTTTGTCCCAACTCCAGAGGGAAATAAGTTAATTTTTGTCAGGAATGTTGGCTGACGATACATTAGGAAAGCTATACTCCTAGATTCTAATAGGAATGTCGCGAGAACGAATTTGGCCCTCTTGAAAAAACTCGGCGAACCTGCTCACTGTTATCAAGCGATTACTAAGATGTGCAATTTTCGTTTACATGATTCTCCTCTGTGTAACCGTTAGCAACTTCTTTTGAGCGAAATTTTTGCTTTGTTTCATTCCACTGGGAAAAACCAAAAGCACAATATTCCAGTTGTAAAACCAACTCGATTAAGTCGAATTATCTTTACGGCTAAAAATGAGTAGAGAACTTTTATACAGCGCTGGTGTGTTTTTCTGTCCAATCTCATCTTTGCCAGATTTGATCGAAAAGGGAAAGATCTCTTGCCTCGAGGATAGTCTTTTCTTCGACAGCGAAATTCAACCGGGATGGATTCATTTTAACTCAGACAAGGTTACAATTCTATCAAGTAATGAAATGTTCGAGCCGATTCTTCAAGTGCCTCATCTCTTCCACCCTGAAGAAAACACCTTCAAAATAAACTCGGACGTTGATTTGGGGAATTTGATAGCGTTGTTTAAGAAACCGCTAATCATGTGCGTTACGAGGAGACAAGAAGACGAGGCCATGATCAATGGCTTCGACACGGACTTCGTTATCGTTTTCGACCCTTCGGATTCCAAAGTTGCGCAAGAACTTTCAAGAGTAACCGAATATGTCGAAAAACATCTTCGTAAAAGAAAGAAATTTCACCTTACGATAGATTTATCAGAGAAGCTTGACGAAATATCACCGTTGGATTTCAAGAAACACGTTATGTGGTTGAATTGTTTTTTTCACGTCACAAATTACCATGCACCCAATCCCGTTTTGACCCTGGACATCTTCTATCTTTGGTTCATTCTTCTGCCATGTTGTATCGCCGTTGCATTGCCTTACAGACTCTACAGAAAGCTGCGCTGTGTGGACAGGAAAATAGACTTGAACATTCAGTTCTTTTTGGAAGCGACAGATTCCGTGCCTTTAGCTTTGTACTTCTTCTCTGGTTGCCCGCCCAACCCCGGTCGTTACCGAACTGAAAGCCACAAATACCATTTGCGAGCCTGCCCTGGGACAGAACTTAGATCATTGCTCTACTTAATGAACTGCTAGTACTCAATATAGTTTCTCTGACACAGGCCTTCTCCAAATCTTCGTCTTCGATTCTTGTGTTAACGCAACTTGCATTTGAAGGGAAACAAGTGACTTTTTTCATAGGTTTTCTTTTATTAACAATCACTTCCGGCGGAAGTTCAGACACTCAAAATGAAGCAGAAAGAAAAAACACTAAATTTAGAATAAATAAAAGAAAAAGCAAACAAATCAACTGACTCAGTAATAACGATAACGATGATTATGATGATGTTAATTTAGATTAATGCATTAATATTGATAATGACGGTGATGTACAGTCGCACCCCGCAATTCCACAGGGTGACCTGGGGCCCGTTTCTTGAAGGTCCCGGTAACTTAACGGGCCCGTAAAGCTGTTCTGTCTCATTCAAGATTAATCAAGATGGGGATATCAAAAGTTTTGAAAATTATACAATAAACCTATCTGCTAAATAGTGACTGTAGCCGTTATTCTCACGCAACTTGTATACGAATCACATGTCAAGCGAAACAAGTCACGTACCTGTAGTCCAACTGTGTAACCTGGCCGACAAGTTTTTCACATGTCAAACGGTTACCTGGCTTAGTGGTCACGAAACGGGGAATGACAGGGAGAACAAAGTATGTGACTTGAATTCCAGATGACTTTAAAACGTCCAGGAGGTATATGATCTGATGGAAACTGCTTTCGGTTGACTGATAACAGATTAACGACATAAACCAAGCGTGAAATGATTCACTGGAATTCTCGACCAAGCCAGGATGAACTACAAGGTCACGTAGCAGGGTAACGTTAGCCCTTAGGTGAAATTTTATCTCAAAGTACATATGTGCAGTCTTCTAAATTGCTAAAAAAATCTGTCGTTCGTCGTAACTTACTGTACTCTCCTAAAGAAACTCGCTGTCTGTGAGGCTGTCACTTTACCTGTATCTGGAATTTGAAGTTGCGCGGTATGTCAACTCCGCAAATGCTCGAATTTTGCAATATCCTCTTACGTAACACGAGAAAAATGTTGTGATTTTCATAACTGATAATTAGTAAAAATGCGAGTAATGTCAAAAACGGGATTAAACGGAAAAACTAGCCTGCTGTTATTTTCATCGTCTCAAATCTTTTCTTTTTAATTTACTGGGAGTGAATTAAAAAAATAGCTGAATTTTGAGTTCAAATCAATGCAGAGACCGACCACACGGGCTCCTTTCAGTAATTAAGCTCAAAGAGCTTTTATCTATTGTCCTTACAATGCTTCCGATAAAGACTTTCATTTACAAGTCATTAGTCATCGGCGTCGTTCTAGAATACCTTACCGAACAATACAAAGTGCCTCTGCATAAAGACTAAGCGTGATTAGCTCTAAAGTCTATAAGACCCACTTTCGCTCTGCACGGCTGCACCAGTTCCTGAAGACCACGACTTTAGAAGTAATGGAGAACCTTTCCCCAGAAGTACTGATGTTTCCCATAACATCATTGCCATTCATTTTGAACAGCAGACCAGAGCTGCAAGAGGGCTTTCTGCTCGATTTCGAAATCAGACCTGGCTGGATTGTATACAATCCAAACGTGGTAACTGTTCTGTCCTGCAATCAAATGTTCCAACCTGTGTACGAATTGGAGCCAATTTGGAGTTCAGACGAACAATTGTTTAGAATCAAAAGTACTGACGATCTGGAAGACTTGAGGGTCATGTTGAGCAAGCCGATAGTGTTCTGTGCCACCAGAAGACAAGAATGTGAGGCAATGATCAACGGATTTGATACGGACTTCGTAATACTGCTGGATCCTAAACATCCAAATGTTGCAGTGCAGATTCAAAAAGTTGTTGATCGCGTCGAGGAGCGCCTAAAGTCTGGACAAAAATTCTGTTTAAAAACCCACTTTTCTGATCTTTTAGAGGGATCAACTCTGGCTAAGTTCAAAAGCTTCGTTTACTGGTTTAACTGTGAGTTTTATATCACCAATCACTGCAGACCAAACCAGTTCTTATCAACAAATCACTGGCTCTTTTGGTGTGCCGTGTTTCCAGTATTTATTATGGCTTCACTTCCCTATCGCATCGCAAGGAAAGCTTGTATTTATGACGAAGAGATAACTTTGCAAATAAGATTGAAGTTGACTTTTTGTCCAGAAACTGTCCTTGTACTGCATTTTTACTGTGTGGATAAACCGTTGCCCGGACGTTACCTTACAAACGAGAAATTGTTTATAGAACGTGAATGTTCTTCCACTGAACTTAAAAATTTAGTTTGTTTTGATGCTAAGAAGCTCAGGAAGCATGAACGATGTAGTTTTCGTTTGAAGAGGATTAAGCACAAACTGATTAGTCTATTAGAAGTGGTAAGAAAGAATAAAGCCAAATGAACCAGACCATTCTCAGACTTGAAAAGGTACAGCTTTAGAACAAATGTCATTGTTGTTTCTTAGCGGAACTCTTCCGCAAATTTTGATAGAAATCAAATAGATGGAATAAAAGATAGATAACAAAGTTCTTGAAATAAACATAACCTTTGGAACATTTCACCTGTTTAATCTCAATAAAGAATGGAAAATCTAAGAGATGCGTAACTTCTGAACACTCATTTAACCTTACGTGAAAGAAACAAAGGATCACTTGAAATGTTTGAGGCACCCTGAATTGGTCTCTCAAAACGATATTCCCGCAAGTTATGACAAACTCACTCGAGATCAGGGTTTAAACACATCACAGGAAGTTTCTTGTTCTAATTTTGAAGTGTTATAGTCTAGGACCTCTTGCGACAGAGGGCATCTAAAAATGTGATTTCTGGGGCAGTGTTTCACTGTTGTAAAACTAGAACAGCAATTAGCGCCAATTATCTGCCATAATCCGTATTCAAAAACTAGTTATAGCTCACGTGCTTTGCGTGTTCACGGTCGCTGGTACTGAACGACGGGTCCTTGCACGTCTTGCATGGCAAGGTTTTTGGCAAGCTTTGTGAGTGTTTGAAAATGTGAGGGCACCCGTCAGAAGAAACCGAACCGAGGTATTCATGAAAGCGTGTGAAAAGTGCAAGGAAATTTGCATACCTTACAAATCTTCTCACACACCTACACCCATCCTTTCAGCTTTGTTTCTTTTTACGTTCTTTCCTTCTTATCCAATTGAATTTGTAAACCATAGCTATTTACATATGCTTCACTAGGTGTTATGCATGCAACTAACAATTTTCCGACTTATTTTATGAGTGAGGAAGATGTAAGACGCATCGATACAAGTTTTTCGAATAATGAAGTTTAGGGATGTTTTTGAGGCACAATATAGATGTTTTCAGGGTTTTGAACCTGAGGAGATTGACTTTGCTGGAACTTAACAAAGACCTTCAACACTGTCCAAAGAAATAATGAAGACCCGTTTTATGGGGCGCACTGGGTTATTTTCGGCTAAATGGAAATCTTTGACCAAAATTTTTCCGAAGATGCATGCTAAATCCTTTATCAAGAATGTTACATCGAGGATGTCAGTGTAGTGCAGAAACGCCCTCGACGTTTGTTATCCCCAGCTCAAATGTACATAAAAAAACAACATGAAAGCTGCAAGGGGCTGTGAAAGAGGGTAATGGTCAGGGCTGTTCTTGCAAAAAAAAATCCCTTGGTGAAATTAAACCGTTAGGCGTGCAGCACCTTTCCCATATATCCTAGACACACCTTCGCTCTGAAGAAGGGCTGACGCTAGAAACTTTTAACTGGGGCCAATTCACGTTATAAATTCAATCGATAAAACCAACTTAGGCAAATTACACGTGTCGCACGATCGACTAGCTTCATGTCATGGATACTGACATTGATTGTATTTGGGCTGCATGGTCTGATATGTTTTTATCTGCTGTCAACGAGTGTATCCCAAGGCGGACAGTGAAGAGAACTTCGAATGCACCATGGATAAGCGGGGATCTAAATAAGTTGTGTAGAAGAAAGAAAGTGCTTTATAAAAGGGCAAAAAAAACCTGTGCTCTTTCTGATTGGAACAAATATCGTAAATTCAACAACTATGTGAAGAAGGAGTGTAACTCTGCACGTAGGCAATTTATAAACAATCTGGCAGATGAACTAAAGACCGGAAACAGTTCAAAGCCTTTTTGGAACTTTGTTCAATCAAAGAGAAAAGTCAAATGTGATTTAGCGTCCTTAAAGGTGAACGATTCGTATCTTAACGACGACCTGAGCATTGCCAATTGTATGAATTCTTATTTCTCATCGGTGTTTACTGTTGAGGATCACGAAAACTTTCCCGACCTTGAATATATTACAGATGAGAAATTATGTAACATCTTTTGTTCTGCCACGGAAGTTGAGAAATTGCTAAGAAATTTGAATATTTATAAGTCCCCTGGGTCCGACTACATATCACCTCGCATCCTAAGAGAATGTGCTCAAGTGTTGTCATCTCCACTGGCTTTATTCCTGAATACATCCTTCTCTCAAGGTCAACTACCAAGTATATGGAAGTCGGCCCACATCACTCCAGTCCATAAGAAAGGGAGCAAAAATCTCATGGAGAACTACCGCCAAATATCACTGACTTGTATTGTTTGCAAGATTGCAGAAGCTGTGGTAAAGTCCCGTGTGGTCGACTTTTGGTCAGACCTCAATCTTTTTAATCCAGACCAATTTGCGTATCTAAGGGGTAAATCGACGTTGGCACAATTACTTACATGTTACAATGACTGGGCAAAGGCTAGGAATTGCTCGCAACAAACGGATATCATCTTCTTAGATCTCTCTAAGGCTTTCGACAGCGTGCCACACGAGCGTTTGCTGCTGAAACTACAACGGCATGGAATAGACGGCTCTCTACTACTGTGGATTAGAAATTTTTTGACGAATAGAAGGCAGCGTGTAGTGTTAAGGGGCAATTGTTCAGACTGGTCACCCGTGATTTCAGGTGTGCCTCAAGGAACAGTACTCGGCCCAATCCTATTCATTATTTATATAAATGATATTTCGGCAAACATTACATCAACCGTGAAAATCTACGCTGATGATACTAAAATCTATCGCAAGATCATGGAGCCTGATAAGGATATACCAGCCTTACAGCTGGACTTGAACAAACTAAGCGATTGGGCTAACAAGTGGCAGTTGCGCTTTAATCCTGAAAAATGTGAAGTTATGCGTGTAACGCACAGCAGAGACAGATCCAAGCCTAGTTATTCCCTTGGTACGCAACTAAAATCTGTCGACAGTGCCAAGGACCTAGGGGTCACAATAAACTACGATCTATCTTGGAGCAAACACGTTTCCTACATAGTAAACAAGGCGAACAAAGTGTTGGGTATAATTAGGCGATCACTTGGAAACGATAATCGCTATGCGTTTTCCTGCCTCTTTAAGTCGTTAGTAAGACCTATACTCGATTATGCTGTCCCCGTCTGGAGCCCCTACCAAAAAAAGGATATCGAATCCTTGGAAAAAGTCCAAAGAAGGGCATCTCGGTTGGCATTAAAGCAAAAACGCGGAGAAATGAGCTATGAAGACCGCTGCCGCCTACTGAATTGGCAAACTTTGGAGAAACGAAGAGAGTTTTTATCTCTGATCCAGTGCTACAAGATAGTTCTGGGAATAGATAGTCTTCATTTTTCGGACTTTTTTGAACTTACTAAATGTAATCGAACTAGAGCCAATCACGATTATAAGCTCTACGTAAAAATAGCTATCGTAAATTGCTACAAATTTTCTTTTTTTGTACGGATCGTTAATATGTGGAATAATTTGCCTAAAGATGTTGTACACGCAGGATCATTGACTTTATTTCGTAACAGACTAAAGATTTACATGAATATTGATTGAGATGATGGTAAACAGTTTTTAATTATCTGTATATAATGTTTTGATCTTTTATTCGGGGAATCTTTTGTATAGGGTTAACCTCTAGAATATCCCCTTTCGAGAGATACTTTTACAATTTTATTTTTTATTTTCCTTCTCTTGAATAAAGTATTGTAATTGTAATTGTAATGTCACGTGCGCTGCAAGAGGGGTGTTCAGACAGCCTGTTCTACTTGTCCATGAAGAGGGTGATAGGTAGGTAGAAAGAAAGGAGAGGAGATTTGCGTCGGGTCTCTGGCTTCATCAGAGCTTCTCTCCTTTTTTTCCGCTCTGTCCAACTAATGCGTTATTTTAGACTGCCAAAATCTCCCTGTTAGCCCGCAAAATGCGCTATGATGCGCGACAGAGAGAAAATAAAGTGCACTAAGTTAGCAGGGTCAGTTATGCAGTAAATTAGAATTTACATCATCATTCTCATGATTATCTTCGCCATCTTCCAAGTCTTCAGCCTCTGAATCCTGCACCTGATAATAATTTTTTGACTCGTCCATTTGGTTAAAATCAAAATATTCAGCTTCTTGATGCATCAGCTCTTCTAGCCTTCCAACCATCTCTTGAAAACTAGGCCGTTCATCTTGTTCTTGTTTCCAACAATCCAAAATCAAAGAGTAACTGAGACAAAAATACAGGACAAACTGAAGCACTCCGATTAAAATGTCAAATAGCCTCCAAACCTCAGCACACCGGTAATTTTCTCTAATTCGCCATGTTGAAGAGACTTACAAAAGTGAACTCGAACCAAAACCTAGAGCTGGAGCACGGTGTGTGGATACCGTAAGAATAATGGGTGACTATTTTTTTCTCAGTTCGTGAGCGGGCGGTATTCTACAAATCCTGCAATCTGATTGGTTCCGAGAGTGGGCAGTATTCTCCCCATCCGGCCCGCTCACAGCGGGCGGTTCTTTTCGCAACCATTGGTTAGGTTTTAGGAAAAAATAAAAATGTTATTCACCAGCCAAGGTCGGTCCGTATTGGGAAAAACTGTGCCTTATGTCTTGTGTACCGCCCGGGGTCGTGGGCCTCGGGCGGTATCCAAGACCTCGGGCATAGTTTTTCCCAATACGGACCTCCCTCTGGTGAATAACATATACTTAGCTTTCCGTGATTTAAAGTAGGTTTTCAATAAGAGAGGAATATTGAAACGTAATTTAATTCAACAGGAAATTAATTGATCGCAAAACAAATCAACTTACACATGATCTGAGCACAAATCAGGTTTTTCCATGCGGTAACCTGTCTTCAAACGTCTCATGACCTCTGTATTGGTTAACAGTGGATATGGAGAACCACCTAGAAAATACAGATTTAAGAATAAATGAAAATAAATTAGAGCGTTGTGGAAGGTTGCTTTACGTGGATATGCAGACTTTGCATCATCCCATTACAACGCAAAATCAAAAATGGTAAGGGCTGTGAAAGCCGTTCGGGACAAAAACTAAGGAGATTTATAGACAGCTAGATACAAAAATGTAGTACATTCGAGAAATTTTTAGTAACAGGAATCCTCGTTCAATTTATTTTGTTGAATTATGATATCCCATTATGACGCACAATTGGAAAAGATTGGATTTTGATTCAACGAGATGTAATGTGATCTGTGTGTTGTGATTGTTATTGTTATCTTAAGTTAGATCACAGGGCGCCCAAGCTCTCGATAAGAGGATAATAGTATAGAGCTTTTTATAGGGGGTTAGGCCCCGCTCTATAGTTCCGTAGATAGTAAAGTAATTAAACTCTTTGTAGTGTTTCTTTTTTCGTGAGTTATTTTTGTTCTCTAATAGCGTTTTTAGGCCCTCGAGGCGAGTTTTAAGGTAATAGTATCCCACTACTGCTTGAAGTAAGAAGAATGAGACTTAGAACAGGCAGCAGTGGGATGAGAGCTCAGCTAAAACTCGACGAAATGGCCTTAAATTGCTACCAGAGAACACATAACACAAGCAACACTACCCAAAGGTTAACTAGAGTTTATTTACTTCATTACTTACGGAGTTACATAGCGGAGTTTAAACTCTCATACTAAACCCTGTAATATCTGTCCCTTTCATAAAGAGGTTGGGCCCCCTCTGGTTAGATTACCGACAGTCGCGATTTCCCACATGACTACTCCATAAGACCAACTGTAAAATTAAGAAAATGAATAAATCTATTAGGTTAGAGGATAGACATATAGTATATAAACATCATTCAATGAGTAGAATTTATTTTACACCACAATATGCTACACTTCTTTTAAGAAAAATACTATTATCTTCTGTCATCGTCCGTAAGTGATAATTATCATTACTTTAATTTATTATTATCATTACCATCTTTGTCGTCTTTGTCAACAGTTATCATTGGTTTGTAGTCGCTGTCGTAACTTTTATCAGTTTAGCGTCATAGAATCATCTGTTTATTTCTGTTTACCTTAACCCTTTACATCCTAACATCAGTATGCATATTCTCCATACTGTTCTCCGTACATTTCCAAAGAGGCTGGCAAGGAGAATTTGTTTAACAATCAAGAGCTGCTTTAGTTGGTCATCTTTTCTATTCTCATGACTTTCATGTTTGATTCAGGGGTGATATAGTAAGGAGAAATTAAATGCCGGTCACTTTTACTAGCTAAAGGGTTAAAAATTCACAGACACGTCTTAAGAGTAAATGTCAGTAAAAATCAAGGAAAATTCGAAAAACGTGGCCACGGTCAAAAAATCGATTGCGCTCATACTTTGTCAGTTTGAAGGCCTAGGTAAGTAACTGAAGGATATGAGGTTAGTTTTTTGAAATATTCCATATAACGGCAGAAAACCACGAAAAACGGTCACCCTACCGGAAGCTCGGATTTCACCTAGCTGAAACTCGACATTTTACACTTTTCAGCTTCTCGCTACACAGACGTTTACATAGCTGTGAATCTTTCTTAAGTATAATTGAATACATTGATTCTTCCTTAGTCAAACCATGGGAATTATATTTATCTCTGCTTATTTGTGAGCGAACTGAGACCCGATTAAGAAGACACACTTTTCTCATTTACGCGAAGGTGTAAAATAATCCAAACTCAGAGACGAAAAAAGCTGACCGGTAGTTCTTCAAATCTTCTGATATTATAACCAAAGACAGTTCAGTCATTGATTTTTAGGTCTACGGTTTTAAATCTTTAGGATCTATTAGCACTTTTGCATGAACGCCGATCAAAATTCGATAAAATTCCAATTGAGCGCCTTTGAAATCTACAACTCTACATAACAAAGCACTATTGAATAAATTAACTCCTCGGCCAAAGTTTGTACATAAAACATAAGGGTTTTGCTTTTTTAGCGGTTTGAAGCGTTTTAAAAATATATATTAATGTTAAATATTGTCTACACAGGTAAAACAAACTATGAAACACCAAAATTACCACGAGCTGAAATTAAATCACTCAGGTTCGCTCCCTAATCTGCGTCACGCACGAGCGACTTAGCTACAATTAGTACAGTAACAAACAGATATTTACATCCGTTGATTTTAAATAAGTCGTATTTTTAAAATATCTTACTCAAAGATGTGCCAGGTTTCCCAGTTAACTTGCTGAAAAAAAAAAAAACCTTAATAGTAATTCTAGCTCAATTAGAATTGATTTTATTTAGTATGAGAAGTTTTGTGCCGTCGAAAACCAATCGTAAGTAACTGTTTCCACGAAAAGCAAATATTGCATCGTTCTCTAAATAAACAAATCTACTTAATCATATAACCAGAGTATGTTCTTGGCGAAGTTGATAGACATACATAACAACGACGTCTTGCTCGTTCTTGAATATTGTCGGTGGGATTTGCGGCGCAGACGAACGCACTTGTTAAGTAACTTACTTACTCAGCTTTCGTCACACTGCTCACGCTGTGTAACAAGGATGTAAAACATCGCACGAAGTCCTAAAAAACTCTCCGGACTTGAACCAGATTTGATTTTAGCAAGATTGCGTGTTTTTAAAAGCCAACGAGTTTATTGGAGATGACTACCCGTACCGTCTCATCGTGTCACTTAGGCACAACCTGACACGATGTCGATAGTTTCGACTCCTGATGGCCGAGAGCACTCGGATTTCTTTTTTCCGAGTACGCCTGTGTCACTTACTGAATAATACATCATTCTCATTTATTCACCAGGCTTAAAAATATTCCATCACATTTATTCCATTGCGCGTATGCCACACATGACATTCCAATCCTAGCAGTATGCAGGATGTTTGTCCCATGAAGCACTCGGATTTTTTTTTCGATTATGCCTGTGTCACTTACTGAGTAATACATCATGTTCAAAAGTATTAATTTTTGCACCATACAGGAAGTTGTTTCGGGTCACTCAGGAAGAGCTGTGAAAAGTAGCCGCACTGGAATAGGAATATATTTTTTCCAATCCATGAAGATATTTGACCTTTCAAAATAGCTCGTCCCTATGGGCTCAGGTAAATAACAACTAAAAAATGTACTACCAAGCTGGAACTGTCTCCAATGAGTTTTGTATCCTCTTCATTCTGTTGTCCAATGCGACTATTAAAAACACTATGAGTTTTAGAACTTGCATGTTTTATTGATTGCGCTTGTCAAATAACACTACAGTCTGTCATTGATAGAGAAAATAAAGTTTAATTTTGACAATATTCGATGAAAAATACTAAGAATTTTCCAAAGAGGGCACCGAAGAATAAATAATGTACACTGTCATTTTTACGACATTTAAAAAGGAGGGAAGGGGGTGGGGGAAAGGATTTAACAACCATACTACTCTTTCTCCCCAACCACCCACAAAGTGCACAGTTTGCACAGTATACTAGTGGAAACGTCACATCAACATTTATATGTTTACGTTTAATAGCACAATTACGGTCGTTGCATCACTCCAATATGGCCATTTCCCCACAAAACTATATTTAAGTAGATCTTTGATCAATCTTGTACGTCAAGTTTTGTTACTTTGAATTTTTCTTGGCTTCTTGCGGAGACAATTTCAAACTTTTTAGCCCTAAAACTTTGAATGGATATACAACTGTAATTAGCTTACATTACGTGACTGGTTGGCTGGTTTAATTCGGTGGCAGCCTTGAGGTGGTCGCCATACCATTAGTGTATCTACCTCTTCACTGAACACACTTTTAAAAAAAGATAACGATCAAATGAAACGATTTTTTCGAAAGAAAATAAATGATGTTTTCTTGTATACAATTATTACAGCCGCACTCGCCCACAAGCTTTGAAAGACGACTAATAAACGGATTCTTTCGTCTTTGTGTTATATCAGAGACGTCCACACCAAGTTCATCGCAAATACTGCGCAGCATGTCCACACTCAGTGACATCAGCTTTTTCTTGCCCATGCGCATGAGTTCACAGATGTTGTAACCTGACGACGATACAATGGGGTGCTGAAGGGAAACCTCTCTCATCACTTGCGCACAGATTTCAGATTGGATTACCTGTTCTTGTAATGCTCTGTCATCTTCTCTAGTGGTCTCTTCGTCCGACTCTTCCCGGTTCACTGTACTGGGAGGAAGCCTTTTCTTTGCTGCCATTCGTCAAAAGAATCCAGTGATTTGCTGTCCTGTTAGAACTTCTTCTGGTAGAAATCGACGAGCTCCTAACTCGTCCCTTGAAGATCTCATCATTTTTGAGACTTCATTCGGATCTGCTTTCCTTCCACTCTGCTCGCCAATTTCAAATTGTTGTTTCAAAAA